CGTAAAACTATAATTGAACTAATGAGTTTTCAAGAAAATTATCTTTTTCACTAATGCTTTTTTGCGGTAAGAATGTCATTTTGAACAAAGGGTAATCATAACGTAATGTAAAATCTGCTAAAGAAAACCACCTTTCTAAAGTGACATAGAGCTGTTTTGAAACAGCCGTATATACTCGCTCTCTTTGCTGCGTAACCCTTAAAACTTCAAATAACTGTTTAACAGAACTTTGCTAAAGATTTCTTAACATAAGGGCGACGCGTATCTGATTTGCAAAATCTAAATACCTGTGCTTCTATATTGGAGATGACTTTTATGACGATAGTCTCTTATCGAAGATAATAAAAAAATAGATGCTATTCAAAATTTGTTCAGTAGTAATTTGAAAATGACAGTCTTCAAAGCAGAACGGGTTTTCGAAATTCTGCGTTCTACATTTTTTAAGTCTTAAGCGCTATTCTGACAATGTACCTGCAGTAAGTGATAGTGCCAAACATACGGAAAAGCGGCAGTGTGTTGTGAATACGCTAAAACAGTTTAATGGACCAAAAAAATCAAGGACTTCGATAAATTTGCAATACCAATGACTTACAGGAAGAATAAAAATCATCAGTGGAATTTAAAGTTTCAATTTCTCACAAAAATAGGAGGAAGAACATAAAGCTTGCGAGGGCGATCAAAAAAACTTCTTTTCTGGAGTTGGGATGTAAGAACCTGTACTTTTTGATAGCTTAGTCGTAGTTACAGTCGCTAGTGCATCAAAATGTATTCAGAAAAATTCTGGAAAACTGAAAGATAATCAAAATAAAGTATGAAATAGCAATCTTTTTACTTCTACAAAACTACTTCAACGGAAGAACAGCAGGAAAAATTTTGGAGATAATAGAACTACAATTTTTGGAGTGATTTGAAATAGTTTCAAAAGACATTTGCTAACTGTTCACATGCAATGGATTGGCGCGGACAAGGGCAAAATGTGAGTGTTTGAGAAGGTAGTTAACATAAACAAATTAAATTATGATAGCGTCGAGGATTAATTATAGGGTTTGCATGTTTATGACCTTGGTGGTTAAGTATAGTTATTTAAATTGGTTGAAGGAATGCAAACCTCTGAAGGTCGCAAAATGCGCATGAAGCATTACTGAGGCAGTTTCGACATGTTTTTCGAGCACATTTAGCACACCGATACGAATGTGTGAAAATGGAGAAGCGTCTTGAGCACAAAGCGCACCTTTGCTTCCGTGGTCGAATATTAGCCAATTCTGCTAAACGCGTTTCCTAAACTGACTACAAGGTCGTTTCATTTATATATAAAAACAATTAACAGTTTTAAATTACTGTTTTAATCAAATACAATCAAATCAAATTTTAAAACCTTTCACAAGAACACTGTAATTGATTACTCCTGACCGTTAAGCGTTTGCTGTCAGTGAACATAAGTAAAGAATGTCTAACGGAAAAGGTCCTCTTATTTAACCACGATAAAGCCTTCCAAATAAAACTGTTCTCATCCTTGTCCAAAAAACAGTAAAGAAATTTCACATTTGCGCAGTAGCAGCATTAAAAAACATCCATCAACACCACAAATTTCTTTAAATCTTCAGACGACTTGTTAAGCTTGTATAAACGAATTATTACATCCAACCTGTCGGCTTAACTGACTTTTGACTTCATATTTCATCTTGTAGTCACTGGCAATCAGTCTCATGTGTCTTTGAAGCTCTTTCTCAGAGATAATTGTAACCGCCATCATGAGAAGTACGAGTAAGAAAACAGGTTGCAATTACTCTTCATGCCTTATTGAAATAAGTCTGAAAAACTAAATGAAAAACAGGTATAAAATTTGTCTAAAAGTAATCAAAAA